AGGGTTAGGGCCTAGGGTCCTTTTCGAGGTCCCTTAAAGGGGTCTATAGGGTTCCTTAAAGGTTTAGGGTTTCAGGGTTAGGGCCTAGGGTCCTTTTCGGGGTCTTAAAGGGATCTATAGGGTTACTTATAGGTTTAGGGCTTCAGGGTTAGGGCTTAGGGTCCTTTTAGAGGTCCCTTATGTAACGGGATCTATAGGGTTCCTTAGAAGTGTTTAGGGGTCTAGACCTGAGGGCTGGGGGTTCAGAGTTCAGGGCTTGGGGTTTGGGGTTTAGGGTTTAGGGATTTAGGGTTTAGGGTTTAGGGTTTAGGGTTTAGGGTTCAGGGCTTGGGGTTTAGGGTTCATGGTTCGGCGCTTTCGGGTTTAGAGGAAAGGGTTCAGGGTTTCGCGCTTTAGGGTTGAGGGTTGGGAGGCTCGGGACAATTGGCGATTCTAGGTCTATTGGGTTCGGAATCATCCTTTATGGAAATCTACGAGCAAGCCGTACATAACATATTACGACTATAGTCCCTGCTAACAGTCCCCATGTGCAACATACCATAATACAGACCCAAACTCAAACCACCCGAAAACCCTAAACCCTAAACCCTCTTCCAATTGTGAAGCAGGATGCCAGAGACTCCTTTGGGGCTTAGAGCTCCATGATAATCAATCGGCTCGGGGATATAAGAGCTCTATGTTTGTGTGTTTAGGGTTTAGGGTTTAGGGTTTAGGGTTTAGGGTTTAGGGTTTAGGGTTTAGGGTTTAGGGTTTATGTATGTGTGTGTACACATATATGCATTAAACGGCTACTCGTTTTCGAACCTTCACAGTACATACTGCATGTAACAAATCTACTCAGTTCCTGCCCCAGCGTCCGGCGTGAGGAACTCGAAACCGTCCGCATCCCACACGTTGTAACTGTGGTTGATCCTTCGTCGAATCATCCAAGAACTGATTCTTTACGAGTGTCCAGCATGAAAACCTTACAAAAAAAAACATCGAAAAGTTTTGAAAACCCCAACAACCTTACCTGAAAAAACTCTAAACCCTGAACCCTAAACCCTAAACACAAAAAGGCCCTACTTTGAAAAAAACTCTAAACCCTGAACCCTAAACCCTAAACCCGGAACCGTCTCAGCCGATCCTTCGTCGGATCATCTCACGCATTGGAGCCTCGGTGAAAGCCTCGTCGAAGACAGCGTTCCGAGATCTCCTGAAGCAACCTCCCGGGACTCTTCCCTAAACCCTCAAGCCTCGACCCGAAACCCCAAAACCCTAAAGCCTGAACCCTAAAGCCTAAAGCCCAAAGCCTGAAGCCTGAAGCCTAAACCCTAAACCCTAAACCCTGAAGCCCAAACCCTAAGCCCTAAACCCTGAAGCCCAAACCCTAAAGCCTCAAGCCTGAAGCCTAAAGCCTAAAGCCCAAAGCCTGAAGCCTGAAGCCTAAACCCTAAACCCTAAACCCTAAAGCCCAAACCCTAAAGCCTCAAGCCTTGAGCCTATATCCTCAAGCCTAAAGCCTGGGGCGTTTTTAGGGTTTGGGGTCTCAGGGTTTAGGGTTAAGGGTTGAGGATTTAGGGTTTAGGGTGTAGGGTTTAGGCTCGTAGTATTCTCGCTCATACTGCAACGGTTTGCTCTTCGGAACTTCGCAGCATGAAGCCAGAAACAGTTGAGGTGGACCGGCAGTCAGTTCGAAGATCACTTCATGAAGGACGTGACATGATGTGATTATGTGTGCAAACACCAGAAATCAGAAAACTGCACATCTGCGACAGCCCCCTGTAACTCCAACAGCGACCCTAAACCCTAAACCCTAAACCCTAAGAGGTGTGCCCTTAAGGCTTCAAATTTGAAAGGGCGGTTTCGGGTGCAGGGGCCCTAAACCCAAAGCTCCCAAAAGCCAAGACCCTGAACTCCCTGAGCCCCCACACACCCCTAAACCTAAAACCCTAAACCCTAAAAGCCTATAACCCTAAAGCCCTAAACCCCAAAACCCAAAACCCTAAATAAACCCTAAACCCCTAAAACCCTAAACCCTCCAAACCCTCAACCCGAAACCCTGAAAGCCCGAACCCTCAACTCCAACTCTGCCGGCTCTCGGTGCCTTGGCAGGGCAAAACCCAGGCGAAGAGTGCCAGCAGATTGTTCACTGCACTCTGCCCAAGCACCCAATACCTTCGCTTCTTCAGGACTCTTAGCCTTAAGGGTTTAATATGGGAGAGTATCTCAGAACCCTAAGCCAATGGACAAGGCATTTCCCGACCAAAAACATACGTTTGGAGAGTAATTCACGGCGGTTCCTGTAAACTTGAGCTGCGCGACACCAGCTTTAGAAGCCAGAAGGTCACCAGAAAGCAGAAAACCAAGGCATTCGGCGTGGCCGCTGGAGTCAAAGCCTTCTCCTTGGTTTGCTTTCGAATCCCTTGGAGCCTACGGCTTAGCTTAACCCCAAGTGACCTACCTTTTGGAAGACTTTTATAAGACAACATGGTACTTGGAGGGTGGGGGGACTTAGTAAATGGTTATTTTATAGACTTATAGGTACTATAACCCCAATTAGGGTCCCTTTTAGGGTACTTATAAGTCTACTTATTACCAACTTACTAAGTCTCCCGACCCTCCAAGTAAGGAGTTCTGAAAGGGTAGGTTTCTTCGAGCCTAGGGCTGAAGGCTCAGGGCTTCAGCCCCCTGTACACCCTGACTCACAAAAACTGCGATCAGCCGTTCCAACCTTTATATGGGTAGTTGTCAAAATTATGGTCCCTTTAGGGGTACCCTAAATAATAGGTGCCGTATTATAATAAGGACCCAAAAAGGGACCATAATTTTGACAACCAACCTTTACACCCGACAAGCCCTATGGAGAGCTATAGAAACTCCGAGGGGATACTTGTGCAAGTTGCACAGAAAAACCTGGAAATCCCAAAATCTACACATACCCAAAAGCATGGAGAGCTTAGTCACGAAGACACCCGTGTCCTAAAGAAGTCCGCCTTGAAAACCCACTTGACAGCCCAGCAACAGCCCAAAGCGCAAGTGCCGGACCCTGAACTTCAAAAAAAAATCTGAACCGAAAACCCCCAAACCCTGAACCC